TGGAAGAGGCCCCAGCCGGCCGCTGAGACCCGTTCTCTCAGACTCTGTACATGTGCCAGAATTTTGGAGAAGAAAATTAATCCCCCTCTCTTTTTTTTACGTCTCGGAGCCTGGCCGTCTCAGCACTATCGTTCCCTGATTCCCTTTGAATCGGCCCGCGTGTGAGCAGGATATGGAGCCAAGCGGGCTTCCTGCGTGGCCCGAAGAGGAAACGCTGTAATAAGCAAGGGGTGTGTGTTTAAAAATAACCCGCCTATATAAGAGGAGAGCAGGAGCCCACACACTCTCAGAACTCTCACTCGCTCTCTTCGGCTCCGGCAGGGGCTCTCTGGCACTCTCTCTCTGTCCAGCGCTTTCCGTCTCCCTCTCCCGAAAGCACACACGGAAAACGGGACAGCCTTCCTGCCGTGCGGAGGGAAGAGGAGAAGGAGAGCAGGTGTTTCCAAGAAGTTTAACAAAGACATAAAATATGCAATGTGGAGGCCCACTTTATCCAAACCAGGCATTCATAACTCTCCGACAGGGAGAAATTCAGAGCTGTTTAAAATAAGAAATAAGGACACAGATAACATGATTGAGATAACCCTCTTAGAAAAATGTTTTCACATTGATCTCTTTCACTTTGTAGCCTACATAGCCTGAGCTTGCTTTTATTATTATATCTTGCAAAACAATAAAAGCTGAAGATGTACAGCAGCTAAGATAGCAGACCTGAGGGCGACAACTCCAGAGTTGTAAATCCTTGTCAGAACTATGGCATGGACACTGATTACCACATGTGTAAACCATCTAGCCTTAGGAGGAAACCCTTTATTAAAACATGGAAATCAATGCTGACACAAAGTGACATCACGCAAAAACACAAACTCAGTCAAAATGGTTGACCATCAAGTGATGAGTGGTGCCGCTGCCTTATGACACTAAATTGCCCGAAAGTATGAACACGATTATCAGTGAGGGCCATGTGGACAGATGCAGGTGGGTATACACTATTTCACTTATTGAACCACATCGTTTGGAAACAAAACACGGAGGACAGAGGAGATGGGACTCACCATTTAGGAAGATATATGTCTTCCACATTGATCGTACTATGACGTGCCAGGAAACGGTCTCTATGCCAGAGTTGTAAAGCACATGCTGTAACCTCACATTCATATGGTGACCAACTGGGAAATAGTGTTCAACATGGTATCCATTAATAACTAATACAAAAGACAGCGTCTGGGAAGTGACTTACTGTACATGAGAATGTACTTTTTATTGCCTGGGTAGTCCGGTACATAAAAGTACTTAGCATTGTATGTTATGTTCTGTTCTGTTGTGCCAAAGCGAAAGCTAATAATTAGCAAGCAAAATGTATCCTCCATGACTGCAGATACATAACCTTAGGATGGCACTTGAATTAAATATTTAGAACCACTCAAGTAGCCTTCCCTCTGAACGTTATGAGCCTGCATTAATGTAGCACTACTCATGCATAAGCACTGAGTATTGAGTCAAATTCCTCCTAATCATCAAGAGTTTTGACCTCTGTTTAGGCCATCTATCAGGAGTTGACCCTAAGAGGCAGTGAATAGTTCAGGCCTGCTGTTTGATACTACTATGTAAGTGCTGCTGAATCACACCATTCCCCTGTAGTCATATGAGTGGGCTCTTCGACTGCAGCCTGTCGGGATTGGCTCTGTGCTCTGCAATACTGAAATTCCTTATAACCTAAACAGGTGTTCAGAGATAAAATGGTCTCACTGGACATCATTCTAAGGAATCTAAAGGAAACTAAAGTGGAAACAGCTGGTAACAGCTGGTACCTGTCACTGTTAGCTATCAACAAAATGATTGATACCCATATCTGCGCTCCTATAGTAACTTTCATGGATAAACATTCTGAGTAGCCTATTTACTGTAATATTCTAGAGGTCATACAGATGCCTGGACTTTGTGAGTCACTAACATGACTCTAACCACTCTACCAATCACAAGTTTGAGGATAAATGAACTCATGACCTGGGAGACGTGCAGTTTCCACCAACCCTCTCATACCCTGGAAACAATATCTGGCTGTCGAACAAACCACTTCCCTTGTACAACCGCTCTGAATCATCAAACAAAGGGAAATAGGATCAGGATATTCTTCAATGCACTTTTACTAATGCGGTGGGGACTGACTCTGGTGCCGTGGTCCTCTGTAGCTCAGCTGGTAGAGCACGGCGCTTGTAACGCCAAGGTAGTGGGTTCGATCCCCGGGACCACCCATACACAAAAATTTATGCACGCATGACTGTAAGTCGCTTTGGATAAAAGCGTCTGCTAAATGGCATATTATATTATTATTATTATTATAAATAGCTGCAGGTCTACTGGGGATGATGTTCATCCATTGGGCCTACAGTACCTGTAACACACTGCTCCCACACCTTTCTGTGTTGTGACCCACCGAGAGCCTTTTAAAAATGTCCGAAGCTCAATAAGCCACAACTATGAATTGGGTTCAGACTGGGGCCTTGAGTTTTTCCTGCTCATACAATGTTTGGCAGGTACAAATAAAGAAAACACGTACATTCTAGTTTAATCCAGTCTATTTTAGAACACTGTTGCGACACCTGACTTGATAGAGAGTCACAGTAGGTATGACATCTTTTCCAATAATGTTGGAATGTTACATGTAAGTACAGCGTTTGTAAATCACATCATCCCAGATTCCCAACCTATAATTAATACACAGAATGTACGTTGGCCTGAGGAAAGAACAGGTTGTAAAGTACAGATTAAAGCCACACCCATGTTTCTTGATGCCCATGTTTGTTGTTCAGTAATATAATTACTTGTGTAACTGCTGCTCCTCTCATGCTGTGGGATACAGTTGTAGCCGACAATCAGATCATATCGATATGGCTTTTATTCACTTTGATCATTTGTTGACAGACTTTCTGAGGATTTTCGTCCATGGTTGGCTGTATTTAGGGTTATTTAAACTGAGGAACAGGGGCAGTAACATGCATGTTTTGGTAACTGGTTAGTTGTGAACTCTCTCAAATAAATGAGAATATAGTCAGACATTTGCCAGAGCCCAACTCTGAAATGCCAATCAGTTAAGCCAAGTTGCACTGGCACAAAGGAAACAAAATTAGCACCAGTGCTTTGGCATTTTAATTGAGGTTTAACAGATAAACAGGCAAATTGAACTTTATGGCAGTGGTTACTGGTTGTAGATGTCATGGCATCGGAATGACCATATTTGGTTTGCTGATTAGGGAAGCTCAGATGAATCATTACATGGCCTTTATGGTTTAGACTCAGAGGGTTATGGATTATGTAAGGATGATGATAAGGTGCCCTTCCCCAACTAGTATGTAAACAGAAGAACAGATAGAAAGTGAGAATGGTTTGACACATGCACACATTTGACACTTGAATAGAATAGAAACAAAAACACTTCAGTCCCATTGTGAGAGAACAAAGGTATCATTCTGGTGCACCTGCAACTAGCAGTGCACTATTATGAATGTAACAACATAGGCAGTATCAATTGACAAGCAGTGAGGACTCGGAGATTTGGGTAACAAAATGAATGTCCACATCCTACTCAGGGCATGTCATTTGAGGATGATATTTGCAGTTTACCTTATCCTTAACTGAAGGCTGTTTGCGAAACTGGCGCAAGAGACCCGATACCAATGTGAATACCTCGCTGGACAAAGCAGGCTCAGCAGCTGCTCATTCAGCCTCATTATTTGCACCTGAATGGGCCTTCATAGAGGCAAAACGCTTTTATAGTGCGTGTTTACCGGAGAGTTTGAAGGGGTGAAAAGATTCAGATGTAGGCATACCTGGCGCCTGGTGGCTGCAGCGTTTTTTAAAGCCTGCTGCGCTGGGTAACTGGGTTTCTCACAGGCTGATGATGATACGCAAATTACCTGAGGAGTAGAGAGACGAGTTGGTCAGGTGATGGAGAGCCAACTGATCTGCCAAATTAAAGGTCTTGTATAGGCCTATGATAAAAATGAATATGGGGTTATCCTTTTTTTGTATTTAAGTATTTTAAGATACTTTACATGTGCAATCATATAACAATGTTTAGTCTATTATCGATAGCACAACACATTACTCAAGTCTCCATATAGCCTATCCTGTAATCACATTCCAATAATCTATTAGTCTACAATTGAGAGGCCAACGCAATGTTTCCAAAGTCTCCATAACCTACCCTGCTGTATACCTCTATCAACACGGAGTGCGTTTTGCTCTATGCTGCTTCGAGAACTACCCTGCAAGTGTATGCGCCTTGGACATGTCTTTCATATGTGTTTGGAGATAAAACGTGTGTTTAGGTTTTTGTGTATGTACATTATATTGGGTTGAAGGAGAAGGTATGTAATGCATTGGGATGTCCTAATATTAGCCTATATTGAAATAAAATCCGTGCCTAATATTTTATCCAAATGCGTAACTTTTAAAATGAATGTATAATGATTATTCTATTTTATCAAAATGCGTAACTTTGACTCTGGTGCCGTGCGTGCATATTTTGGTATCTTTACCCTATTCTTGTAATAACAATGTATTAATTGTTTACTATTATTTTTTCAAGGGGGCGGACTTTGCCAAACGCAGCATTACGGTTATACTTGTTAAACTCGTTTCTATGCAGGAGGGGCGTGTGTAGAGGTGGCTTTAAAGCTCGCACGAGCGCAAGAGGGAAGGCAAAGAGACTGCAAGCGCTCGCTGGGCTCACTGGCTTTATATAGGGCTAAATTTAGGGACGTGTAGCGCGTGTTTCCTCCGCTTCGTACAATTGGTCCAGCTTTTCAGCTACAATATTTATAAGGTATAGGAACTCCTACCAATCAAACTTTCACATGACTCCGAAACAGTGCTTCAAGTGAGAAGTAGTGGTTTATACTACTACAAATAGTTTATCGTGTGGACTCCAGTCTACATCGCTTTTGCTGATATTCTTAGACAGAAATAACGTTTTAAATTCAAGAACATTACAACGTATGGAAATGGCCTTAACCGGGACCATTTTACCATCCATCTCTACATTTGCGAGCCATAAGGAAAAATGCTGGGAAAATGTAAGTATATTGTATTATGTATTTAGAGACGTTTGTTGGTTGTTTTACATGTTGTTGGTCAATTTATGTAATAATAAAGAAATAGCATTTCAGTCCCTATGCACAGTTAGGCAATTAAATAGTTAGTCTAAATACATATATATATACATATATTTTACCGTTTTTTACCATCCATTTTATTGTACAGAGTTTGTTTTTTTATGTTATCATTTCACTAATGGTATCTTTTATTATTGCAGAGGTGGAAGGGCGAGATGGACAGGTCTGTGCATTCCAGCTGTGCCGTGGCTGAGAGCATGGACAACTGCATGGGCAGAAAAGACGAAGAAGAGCTCGATAAGTTCCTGGATCTGGAGTTTATTCTCTCGAACACCACTGGCACAGACAACACGGGAGGAGAGTACAGGCTAGGAGAGCAGAACAACATGTATCACTCCGGGATGCAGTCTACCTACACCGTGCCCGAGATGAGCAGCCCACCTCCGCCTTACAACAGCCTGATGGCTGAGCTCCTGCGCACTGAGCTTGACAGCAGCTTCTGCCATCAGCTTTCCGGCAACAGCATCCATGGGAGATTTCTAGTCAGTTCCTCTACCTTCCCAAATCAGGACTTTGTAGACAACATCAAGGTCGAGCCATCCATGGACAGTTACGGACCACTTATGGGCATGGTCCCACAGAGCTGCCCAAAGATCAAGCAGGAGGGGAACGTTTCGTGCATGATGTCCTTCGAGCAGCCGAGACTAGCCAACTCTCCACAGGCTGCGGGGAACATGACACCGCCTCTCAGCCCAGACGACCTGATGAGCTCCGAGTGTCAGCCCCAGATGTGCCACTCCATGACTTTCCCCCAGAGCTACCGCTCCCCAGCGGGATACCCTCACTCTCACCCGCCCCCACAGATGCAGCTCCCGTACCAGAGCGCACACCAGTTCGGGATGTACGAAGACGGAATGGGTATGCAGCCCACCAACCAGAGAGTGCTACTCACTCCACCGTCCTCCCCACTGGAGATGATGGACTCAAAGCCAAAGAGGGGTCGGCGCTCCTGGCCAAGGAAGCGCACAGCCTCTCACACTTGCACTTTCGCTGGATGCGGGAAAACCTACACCAAGAGCTCGCACTTGAAAGCGCACCACAGAACGCACACGGGTAAGGAATATTCCTCATTTTCTCTTTATGCTTATTGCAAACTTGAACTACTTGGCTCTATGTGTTGCAAATAACTGCGTTTTCTGTCAGTGTACTCATGGTCTTTTCCATTTTGTCATTCAACAGGTGAGAAACCATACCATTGCAGTTGGGAGGGTTGTGGCTGGAAGTTCGCCCGCTCCGACGAGCTGACGCGCCATTTCCGGAAGCACACTGGCCACAGGCCGTTCCAATGCCACCTGTGTGAGCGCGCCTTCTCCAGGTCCGACCACCTCGCGCTGCACATGAAGCGACACATGTGAGAAATTACATACGATTGAGGACTATGACAAATTAACAAAGAACAACATCAAGAAAAATGTCTCCAAAATATGTATTTTGTATTTTAGTTTATTTAAAGTTTTTTGGGGGGAATAGGAAAACAGCATGAGAACATAAAACGTGGTCAGACTTGACAAATTAACGAATTCTATATACAAATACTATTTTTGAAATATGTAGCTGGTACTACTTTGTTATTTTTTATCGAATAATATTTGTATAAAAAGGCTTTAAACATGCATTACACGGTGTTTGCATTTGTGAATTCAAGTCAACATATGAGGCTGGCCCTATACACCTCTGACGCAACTGGAATCTGACAATTAAATTGTTTAACATGATGTGTTTTGATAGTCACGATAGTGCCTTCTATTATATATATGCATCCTACGAGTGCCATATTTTCTACTGGCAAAAAAACAAAGTTTATGTAAGTGTTATAACTGTAAACAGAACATGAAATAAGCTTTAAGACAATGTTTTGATCTAAAACTGCCTTCCAGTCTTCAGAGGCTAGAATTGAATGTTCTGTGTGTGCATTTATTGTTGAATAACATTTGAAGTCAGGGTCTTTAAATCTATGGAAATAGTTGTCCATCTCAACATGACAAAGGGCTAAACGTCTTGTGACTTAAAACTGTTCTGTTTGGTTTTCTGAGTAAATGTATTAATGCCATGTAAATACATTTTTATATAATGTAAATAGTTTATTTTAATGTACATATTAAACTAATTGAACAACATTATTCTTGACTTTGAATGAAATCCTTGTGGCTTTCTGTCTATTATCCTGACAAAGGAAAATGGAGCAGCCCTGACATCTGTGTATCATCATCACACCATACTGTAACATTACACCAGTCATAAACTCCTTAACAATACTTCCTGTATCTTTACATCAACCATAAGCTATAGTTGTCCCTGTGTGAATGGCTTGCCAACTATCCTATAGGCCAGTTCAGGCCTGAGCAGTTTACAATATGAATGCGAGTGCAATGTTTTCCATCTGTCACAGGGCCACTGCCAGAGTCTTGTGGCTCATGCAGCCTATAAATACAAACATTACATTTACATAATTACAGAGACTTAATATAGATGTTCCCTCTCTGGGTCTGGGCACAGGGGCACACCGCACTGAAAGAGAAAGGAACCCTAGTCCCTGCCTCAACGAGAAGACCCAATGGGACAGGGTGGAAAGTTCAGTGGGGCTTAGAAGAGAGTGACATGAAGGTTATGCATCTGTTAGCCTGGGTTTGAGTCTCACAATGAATGTACTTGTTCCTTAAGTATTCTATAGAATCAAAGCTTTCACTTCAAGCAGTCTCTGGGTTAGGCTCTATTGTCTTGTTATTTCAATGTTGATAAAGCATGAAGCAGTATTAAGCGGCTATCACTTAAACATGGTTGCATATTCTTAAAAGTACATTTTTAGGTTGGTATGCTATCCAAAAACAAAGCACCTCCACTCTGGAAGGAGCAAGGAGTTAAAAACACATGAAGTGGCCCAGAGTACAACAACATTTTACCCATGATCCATCTCTTAATCAGGGGCCTTCAGCCTGTGTATTTGGATCACATGACAACATTCCTGCACAACAAGTCAGGTATGGTTACGTGCCTTCAGAATAAACGCCTCTTTACTGTGTTATGGGCCTAATTATGTACTTTGGCTATGTATAAAAACAGGCAGAGAGAGAGAGAGAGAGAGAGTTGAAAGAAAGAGAGAGAGGAGAAAGAGAGAGAGAGGAGAAAGAGAGAGAGGGGAGAAAGAGAGAGAGAGAGAGAGAGGAGAAAGAGAGAGAGAGAGAGGAGAAAGGGGCCACCTTTGTGAACTGACTAGCTCACAACAATGTCTCTACATTGGCTCTATGGGGAAACATAAAAGAGGACCTTTTCTTCAAGTGTTATAACTTTTTAGGGGCTGCATCATCTTCTGGGTGCCCCTACCAGTTTAGAGAAAATAAGAAATAGGAGTGCCTCTATGATTAGCCAATTTACTCGAGTGAATAACCAAACATTCTCATTTCACTTTTTGCTCAGAGTATAATAATAATCTCTAGAAGAGAGTATGGGAAGACTGATATGGTTTATGCATTCTGTCTTCCATGCAACCTGTCTATCTATTAACAAAAAAAAGAGCATGTATTCCACAGGCTTTCATTGCTATCTGGTTTCCCCTTTAGATGGCTCAAATTACAGGCTTACAAAAATGAATTTCCTTCATTACAATATGTTTACATCTATACCACATCACATATACAGCACATCATTGTAATTCAGAATTATCTCTGAATCTGATCTATCAGATGAAGTTGTTTTATAAATGGCATTCCTTGCTTTTGAAACTCCTTTCGCCACATTAACACTCAAGTTACTCTGCTCTAGATTCACCCGAAAATGTATCGGTATCTCTTAGTATGAAACCATTCATAACACACAGTGTTCGCTGGCTCTTTGCCATGGCACACCTGAAACTGCATGCTGGAGATCAAAACCAAAAACCATTTACAGAACCAAGAGGCACAAATGCTGTTCTGCCTACTTTATTGTTGAATTTAGGAGGTGTATCAGAGCTGTTAATCTAGTGATAAGTACAGTTTTTCCATAGTTTTAGGACTATCTCCTAATGTTACCATCCTTATATGCAGATGTACAGGTAACTGCCAAAATAAAGGAAACACCAACATAAAGTATCTCAATAGGTTGTTGGGCCACCATGAGCCAGAACAGCTTCAATGCTCCTTGGCATATACAGTGGGGAAAAAAAGTATTTAGTCAGCCACCAATTGTGCAAGTTCTCACACTTAAAAAGATGAGAGAGGCCTGTAATTTTCATCATAGGTACACGTCAACTATGACAGACAAATTGAGAAAAAAAATCCAGAAAATCACATTGTATGATTTTTAATGAATTTATTTGCAAATTATGGTGGAAAATAAGTATTTGGTCACCTACAAACAAGCAAGATTTCTGGCTCTCACAGACCTGTAACTTCTTCTTTAAGAGGCTCCTCTGTCCTCCACTCGTTACCTGTATTAATGGCACCTGTTTGAACTTGTTATCAGTATAAAAGACACCTGTCCACAACCTCAAACAGTCACACTCCAAACTCCACTATGGCCAAGACCAAAGAGCTGTCAAAGGACACCAGAAACAAAATTGTAGACCTGCACCAGGCTGGGAAGACTGAATCTGCAATGGTGCTTGGTTTGAAGAAATCAACTGTGGGAGCAATTATTAGGAAATGGAAGACATACAAGACCACTGATAATCTCCCTCGATCTGGGGCTCCACGCAAGATCTCACCCCGTGGGGTCAAAATGATCACAAGAACGGTGAGCAAAAATCCCAGAACCACACGGGGGGACCTAGTGAATGACCTGCAGAGAGCTGGGACCAAAGTAACATAGCCTACCATCAGTAACACACTACGCCGCCAGGGACTCAAATCCTGCAGTGCCAGACGTGTCCCCCTGCTTAAGCCAGTACATGTCCAGACCCGTCTGAAGTTTGCTAGAGTGCATTTGGATGATCCAGAAGAGGATTGGGAGAATGTCATATGGTCAGATGAAACCAAAATAGAACTTTTTGGTAAAAACTCAACTCGTCGTGTTTGGAGGACAAAGAATGCTGAGTTGCATCCAAAGAACACCATACCTACTGTGAAGCATGGGGGTGGAAACATCATGCTTTGGGGCTGTTTTTCTGCAAAGGGACCAGGACGACTGATCCGTGTAAAGGAAAGAATGAATGGGGCCATGTATCGTGAGATTTTGAGTGAAAACCTCCTTCCATCAGCAAGGGCATTGAAGATGAAACGTGGCTGGGTCTTTCAGCATGACAATGATCCCAAACACACCGCCCGGGCAACGAAGGAGTGGCTTCGTAAGAAGCATTTCAAGGTCCTGGAGTGGCCTAGCCAGTCTCCAGATCTCAACCCCATAGAAAATCTTTGGAGGGAGTTGAAAGTCCGTGTTGCCCATCACTGCTCTAGAGGAGATCTGCATGGAGGAATGGGCCAAAATACCAGCAACAGTGTGTGAAAACCTTGTGAAGACTTATAGAAAACATTTGACCTGTGTCATTGCCAACAAAGGGTATATAACAAAGTATTGAGAAACTTTTGTTATTGACCAAATACTTATTTTCCACCATAATTTGCAAATAAATTCATTAAAAATCATACAATGTGATTTTCTGGAAAAAAAATTCTCATTTTGTCTGTCATAGTTGACGTGTACCTATGATTAAAATTACAGGCCTCTCTCATCTTTTTAAGTGGGAGAACTTGCACAATTGGTGGCTGACTAAATACTTTTCCCCCCCCACTGTATTCTACAAATAGCTGGAACTCTACTGGAGGGATGCGACGCCATTCTTCCACAAGAAATTCCATCATTGGTGTTTTGTTGATGGTGGTGGAAAACTCTGTCTCAGGCACCGCTCCAGAATCTTCTATAAGTGCTCAATTGGGTTGAGATCTGGTGACTGAGACAGCCATGGCATATGGTATACATTGTTTTCATGCTCATCAAACCATTCAGTGATCATTCAGTGACCACTTATGCCCTGTGGATGGGGGCATTGTCATCCTATGGGGGCATAGCCATGGTAGCCAAAATAATGGCATGCCCAGTATTGTTATCCCTAAGCATGATTGTTTAATTAACTCAGGAACCACACCGGTGTGGAAGCACCTGCTTTTAATATACTTAGTATCACGAATGTTTCCATTATTTTGGCAGTTACCGGTATGTAGGCCTATTTAAAGTAATTTATGTTAGGTATACTTTAGTCTGAAGTGAGCACTTTCAGCATTCCTGCCAGGTCAGAGAAACTATCCGTAAACATGGTTGGATGCATTTGGCTGCAGTTTATCAAGCAGAAATACTTTACACAGAGTATCTTCACAAGCAACAGCATGATTGTATACAATTCTACAGGGATGGTTCCATAAAAAAAGGCAATGAAGTAGTAAGT